AAAGAAGAAGAAAAAAAAATGATCCGTGGAGTCACGTTAAAAGGAATAGAGCGTAATGGCCGAAGCGTCGAAGGCGATAAAATTTTATCAGAGGCGACGTATGCTAGTACACACGGGCACGCAAAAATCCATACGCGCGGCCAAACCCCCTTAATGCACACCCTCTAGCCCGTAACCTGTGGCGAGATCTGTAAAAGTTGAAACACTCGGCCCTGGCTAACCGTGCCACGTTTATCCGCACGATTGCGCGCGGATATCGAGCCTCGCAGGAGATGTCTTCTCAAGTCGTTTCCGGTATTGGAAACTTTCGCGGAACGACGCTAGGTAAAACGATTATGCTCGGACAGGACCTTGGTCTCCCGTGATGGACATTACACTTCTACGACTTTGTTTTCCTGGTTGCAGTTCCTGGTCGTGAGAAATTCTGGAAAATCTTGTTTGGCAGATACTCCTTTCTGGAAACGAAGTTTTAATCGGTTAACGATTTTAATTAAACAGGTGAATATAATAATAAATAGATGATGTGATAATAATCGTTCGTTTATATTTTGACACGTACATGCTAAAATTTGGAATATTTATTATAATAAAGTAATAGATGATTAATTACATTGCACCATGATAAAGATGCAATTAGATTGAATTAGGAATTTCAAAATTAAATGATTAAACTTAAAATTCTTGGCAGACAATTTGTCCGCCGGATACGTAAAATTTAATAGAATTTATAGAATATATAATTATTTTTAGAATTGACAAATGAGACAATAACTTGTTTGGTTTTCGCCAATTATATTTATCTTACATTGTGCTACATTTATACTACATTCTCTACAGATGATTATTATTTGCATGATTTTTATTTATGCCGTATAAGCCTACGACTCTTTCCGGAAGATTAGTCTCTCAGAAAAAGGGAAATTCATAACACCCTCCTTCAAGTAACATCCAGACCTCGGCTTTCTCCCGTACGTCCACATATATATTTCTTTCCTTCAGTCAATCACAATCCCCTCGAATATTAATTTCCAAATCTTCACGTCTTCTCAATTTTCACGGCAGCGGTTTCCTCCTCTTTTTCGATACATTCTTCTCTTTTTCTTTCGCGCGAGTTACCTCCATCGACCAAGATTAACACCTCTGAAATTCCTCCCTTCCGGGAGGAAGTTAATTATTCCTCGAACGGGAACGCGCGCGACCACGTGTCTGTCTGTTTCCAAAGAGAATTTTTTTTTCTCTGTTCTCCTTTTCTTCCCTTCCTTCTTCAACGGGGGAAGATTCCATCGTTGCGAAAACTGAAAGTTGAAGGGAAGTTGAAAGTCTCTCGCGAGGAGAGGGGACCGCGAATCTCGGCTCTCCGGAGGTTTCAACGCCGGAAGAAGAATGGAGGCCGGCGTTAACGACGTGAAATTTCGCACGCGCGCACGATATCTTCGAGACCGAGGCGCGTTTAACTGGCGACTTCCTACCGCCGAGGAGCATCTCGCGATGGATGGGCTTGCACAGGAAACGGGAATTCTTCTTGCTCGAGGATCCCTCCTCGAACGGAAGCTAGTTATGTTGATCTTGCATCGTGTACGAACTCTAGCTAGCGTGGAAAATCCGTATCCTCGCGAGTTTTCCACCGGAAAATTCGTTGGCAACTCCTCTCGAGTTCAAGGATCGAACCGAAGAAGACGTAACTGATCAGACTCCTATGGCTCCTAGTAATTTTTGCTTCGGTGTATTTCTATTCACATCGGGATTAATAGCCATTTTTATAGTCCCTTACGTTTGATCTTGAAAATTTTGTAATTTTCTGCGATTTGAATTTGAAATCCGACGGTAGGGCCCGCGAGATCTTTTCCTTTTTTTCAATAATAAAATTTGGAAGAGCTTCCCTTTTGATGAGGAGTAACTTGGGAAAAGGTAAGATTCCGTATTTCATATGCTTTGTTTATATTTAGAATTTAGACATTTGCTTATTAACAAGCAAGATTATTTATTTAATTATTTCTTAAAGATTGCATTTAGAATTTAGCAATTTGATGCTTTTATTTTTCTCGCTAAGATTTGTATTTCCATTCAAGTTTCGAATTTGAAATTTAATTTCAGATTATTTTTCGGATCTTTTCTTGAAGAGAAGTAAGACTCTGGCAGAATATTAACACCACAAGTACGAAATTCGAAATTCTTATATTCTTCATGTCCTTTGTTATATTTTTATAACCTTTTCGTTTTCTCGTTTCACATTTTAATCGCAGATAGTTTCAAATTCACGACACTTTAAAATTTTCTTACATTTTATTAGACGATTAAGACAAAGGATACTTTCGCTTCCTTAATAAAGTATTCAGTTTTATCGAATAATTATCACGACTGGCTGCGAATCGAATTTTCATTTCGAGAAATATCAAAATCGAAGTAAATTTCAATTCGACAATTATCAATTTTTCACTCAGAGGCAATTGTTTTTTAATACAGCGACTTTAATGAATTTCGGAAGCAAAAATAATCCCTGGCTTGTTCCGTTTCTAAGGATAGGCGTATATTTGAAAATTCTACTTACGAATCTGATGGAAAGATCGTAGACATAGGCTGAAATGAACGTTCGCTGAGCAAATTTGCCTTGTTCCGGTTATCAAAGATCCAAGTTTTTATTAATTATCGAAACAGATCGCTCGCAGGTTTGACAACTTCCAAGAAATGCTGAAACTTGAAACAGTTTCTTGTACTTCTTGTAATTGAAGAATTCTCATTCGAATTCTCAGGATAATAAAAGTGGAATTTACATGCAAGTCACTTTGATCGTACAATTCATTAAACAATCGAAAATTGAACCCGCAATCTTCCACAATTTTCACGTACAAAAGTTCACAATCAAATCTTATAATTTTATACAAAATATTTATCAAAGTCTTTCTATTTCAATAATATACGAATCACATTCATTGTATTTACAATTTAAAAACAAATTCCGATCATAAATTAGAATTATGTGCAATTTAATTTGATCAAAAATTTCTACCATCAATTTTTATAGAATTAACAAACCAAGCATTCAATTATCAAAAAATCTTTCTATTCTAACTATGTACAAATTTTTTAAATATATACAAATTTTTATATTGTAATTATATAAATCATTTTCATCGTGTAATTAAAAGTTTAGTCAAGTATTTTTGTCCATCAATTTTTGTTGAGTTAACAAACGATAAAAATCCAACCAATTACCAAAAAACCTTTACAATCGATAATATACAATTGCAATTACATACAGTTCACTATATCACCGTCAATTATCATGCAGTTAGCAAAACAAAAACCCAATCTTAACTAATTATGAAATCTTTGTTCCAACGATTCTCTAAAAATGCAATCCATCTTTGAAATCCTTCCAAATTTACGAAAAAATCTCCTCCACTCGTATTGCGAATTTTTTTCGCGGAACAGTTACAAAACGAAACACCAGTCTTCGCCAGCCATCGAGAAATCTCTTTCCATCAACTACCAAAAATCTTCTTCCCGGCGCGCTACGATTTCTCTTCCGCTCTTCTCTCTCTCTCTCTCTTTCTCCCTTTCCGCGAAACGATAAAATCCGAAAACGAGGACGATGAAACACCAGAGAACGCAATCTCAAACTCGGACGAGCCTCTGAAATAAAATTTCCCCGGCGGGTTACATACACACCGCGGTGGGAAACTAGTCTCCGTTCACGGATCGGGGAACGAGGCCGGAACAGGTGAGAACGTGAGGGTCGAGAAGGTGGAAAAATCAGTGAGCCCGGCGAACCGGTGACGCGAAGCTTACCGCCGACCGCTAACTGCTCAACGTATAACCGGTTAATTACGTTAAGATGGATTACTCGGGAAGTGTATTTCAGTCGAACGAATTGGCTTAAAGGAAACGGCGTAGGCGGCGAGCTTTTAAAGGCGATGTACGCGTCTCGAGCCTCCTCTGGCGGGGGATGGTTTCGCTGGCCGATTGATCGCGGCGCTCGTGCCTGCCGCACGCTCGACCGGAACGCTCGGCTTAATAAATTAATGCTAATAACGAAGAAGGGCTAATTACAGGGGCAGGGAAAAGAAAAGAAGGGGGATGGACCACCGGTGGCGAGCAAACACCGCCCGGCAATTAGTTAAGCGACAGAAACGAATGAACCGACCATAATAAAACTCGCCGTTTATAGGTGTAAATTAAGCGACTCGTTTTAGGGAGCATCGGACGCAACGCCACGATTTTCGATGAAATTAACCCGAGTTATCGGCGACGATCGTTGTTTCGCGAGATTCGCGGTCGAATGGGTTTTGCGTCCTACTTCTTCGAGGCTATAATTCTATAATTCTGAGTAGAATAGAAATATTTTCTTTCGCGAGATCCGAGTTTTCGATCGTGATTCAATGGAATAGGGATTTTTCTTAGTTAAATTCTAAGAGGGAGAAGAGTGGTTTCTGAAGCAGAGCATAAATTGAAAAGTTTCTTTTTTTCGCGAGATTCGAGTTCTCGATCGTGATTCAATGAAATATAGATTCGTGTTCTTAATTGTGGTCGAATGGGTTGTCAATTCTTCTTCTTCGAGACTTGAAACGAAAAAGAATGATTTCTGAAATAGAATAGGAGTAGAGTAGAATCTGGAGTATAATTCGAGTTCTCGAACCTTGTGGTCGAATGGATTGTGAGTCCTTCTTCTTCGAGGCTTAAAAAAGGAGGAAAATGATTTCTGAAGTAGAACAGGAATAGAATATAATTCTTGAGTAAAATAGAAATGTTTTCTTTTTTTTTTTTTTTTTGAGTTCTCGGTCGTGATTTTATTTGAGTTTTGAAAGAGAGAAGAATAGTTTCTGAGGCAGAGTAGAAGTAGAATATAATTCTAGAGAAATGTCTTTTCCGCGAGATTCGAGTTCCTGAATGTAATTCAATAAAATATAGATCTTTCTAATTTAAGGCCTGAAAGAGAAAAGAATTGTTGAAATGGAACTAGAGTAAAGATTCTCTAGAGTAAAATGGAAAGAGATTTATTGGCTGTGATTGAATGAATTATGGAGTCTTTTAGAATTCTGAAAGTTCCAGAACAGAATAGGAATGTTGTTCTGTGAGATTCGAGTTCTTGATTATGATCGAACGAAACGCGAGACTTTTCTTGGAATTTGAATAGAATAAAAGTATAATATGAATACTGTTTCAAGAAAGTCAAATTTTTGGCTGTGATCGAAAAGTGATCCAAGAGTAAAACTCTGTTTACTTGAATCAAATTTCAATCGAAATTCGATTGAACGAACCTTGAATTCATCTATTTGAACGAGAATTTTTATTACGCGAAGGAAAAATAGTCAGTAAGTCATTATGTGAACCTTTATTGCGTAAACTATTTGTTCCACGATAAATTTATATAAATGGAGTCCTATTATACACATAGGCAGACAATTAGGATGATAGATTTGGAATTTGAATTTCTATACTTCGTACCTATTTCAGTGTGCGGATTTTTCGAAAGGTGAATGAATAGTATGTTTTGATCAGAAACGCAAGAAAAGTAAGAATTTAAATATTTCTGCGACGGTGTAATACGAATGTAATACATGTAATAAGAAATATGCAAAAATGGGACAAATTATAACACACAGGTAACTAACAGTAGAATAATACCAAGTACTAAGTACTAAATTAGTATTAAATAAATTAATACGAGTTAAGTATACGAGTCAAGTATTAATTACGTGCTCAAATATTCCTACTAATACTACTAATAGTAGAATACTGTCAATATTTAATAGCGTTTAAATATTCATGCCATTATAACCGCGTACAGCATAAGATATACTACAGATTACCAAATGCATGCAAGGTTAAACGTAGATCAATTCAACCTGTGTGGTGCAAAATGCAGCGTATTACAAACTACAGAAACAAAATTACAAAAGCAAATATAAAATATTTCTCCTTTCGAATCAAACTTTTCGAATCAAAATTTAACACACTTTTTTGTCACTCTTGACCTTAATTAAATAATTAAAAATCAATATATATACATTATATATATTAAAACAATTATATATATATATATATATATACACAAAATTTAGTTATAATTCTTTTTCTGGAATAAATCTCGAGTTACCTAATTGAAACAAAAAACTTTACTATGAAAGTTGAACACGCTCTTCAATGTATCAGCAACATCCTGTAGAGAGGGAGAAAAAAAAAGAAAAAACAGGAAAGAACCATCGTTGTCTAGAAGAGTAATCCACCGACACGTTTCGACGATAGCCGAGTTTCCGGGTTGGTTGGAAGCTCGATCAGGCGGACGTTGGATGCGGTCGGAAAAACGGCGGCGACGCTCGAGCTCGATAACGACGCGACGCCGGCGAATGTGGGTCAATTAGAGCGGCAATTAGCGTAATCGCCACGACGCGTGCAATCGCAGCCGCTTTCGGCGCCGCGATCTTCGACCTCGCGGTTATCGCTTGCTCCCTCTCTCTTTTCTCTCTCTCTCTTCCTGTCACGCGAATCTCACGTTTTATAAAGAACTGACAATTAGCAGAGTGGACGTAGAAAATAGAATCCTTCAAGTAGAGATCTTCTCAATACTTCGATTGCTCTGATTTTTGTGTGTCCGAAGAATTTTTCCTTGTTTCTTCTTTTCTTTTTTTGTTTCTTTTTCTGTCTCACTTTTTGCAAAGAGTAAAGTAGAATTAATAAAGAAAATTTGCGGAGTGGAGTAGAATATTCCACGGTATTACGTACTCGAATATTATACAAAATGTATATTATTTCTCTCTCTCTTTCTCTCTATCATAAGAACGTCAATGTTTTACAAAGGACTATCATACAATGGACAGGAAATTTGCAGAAAAAATATTGGTCGAATGGAAAATAGAAAGTATCGCGATATTCCGATCTTTGCGTGTTCGAAGATCATGCGAAGTGTACCGTTCTACAGACTGTTAGTAGAATTTTTCTCGTCATCGTGGGACACGTATCGTGACATTCTGATTTACGTGAGTTCAAAGATCACGCGAGACGCATCTCTCGTTCTCCTCTTTCTTCCTCAGTTTCTTTCTGTCTCGTGAATCTCACATTCTGCAGAGAATTATTAATAAAGTGGAATCACTCGCGTCTTCCTTGATTATCGTAACTTTCTTTAATTTTTGTACATTCTATATATTGATTAGGGAACACAGATCGTACTCTTTTCCTTCCCTTTTTTTTTCTATTTTTCGATCTTAAATTCTGCGAAGAATTACTAATAAAGTGAGACTGCTATGGAACTGCGATTGATTATCGCAACGCTTCTTTTCTTCTGTTCACTTTACAGAAGTAGAATCAGTCGTTTTCCGCGAGACACTCGGAAACTACACGAAACACACCACTCCCATTTCTCTTTCACAAGTCTTATACTCTACAGACAACAACAATTATAAATAAAATTGCTCGTCTTTCACAGAATACGGTATCTGAATTCACCCTTCTGCAAAGAGAGAGGAACAATCTGTAGAATCGCCCTCCGCGAGACACACTGTATCGTGTTATACGGATGTTATCTCCGATTTTCCGTGTATATATATATATATGTCCGAAGGTTACGCGAGCGAAGGTACCGTCTCGTCGGAACTGAAGACGAACGTCATTTTTCGCCGGACTGGCCCCTGGGGTGCCAGCTCGCCGCGATCCTCTCCGACCCGCTCCCCGCCAATCGTGCATCGGATTCTCGGATCCGCGTAACGCTGGACCAGTTTTCGATTGCAGGCTGATTCTCACGGGACGCGCTGGCCACCGTTCTACGTGAACGATGAAAGCCAGGCAGCTTTCGAGGAAGGAGGGAGAGGGATGCTGAGAAACTGGACAACGGTCAAGCGGTTCCGTCCCGTTTCCAGCTAAGCGAGCGGCGGAGACCCGGTGTCGTAGGGGTTGAATCTTCTCGAGATCGGTGAAAGGGGTTGCGACGCGCGCGCGGAGAGTAATTCTGGTTTGATCCAGCGGGATGACGGCGTCGCCCCGTGAGAAAGGGCTCCTCGGATACGACCTCTGCCTCACCTCCTCTCTCTTGTCTTCTCTTCTCTTCGGCAACAGCCAGCCAAAAGGAGACGCGCGTTGCTCGATCGTTCCTCTCACAGCGACGAAGAACGGTCGCCCCCGGATGCGATTAGAGGAGCCTTTGAGCAACTCGGTTGCTCGTTGTTGTTCTTTTCCTCGTGTTCTTTTCCCTCTCTTCCTTTCTTCACGTACTTCGCTCTCTTTCTTTCTTTCCCTTTTTTTTTTTTTATATTTCGTTTGGACGACGAACGTCATAGAGTCTTTTTCTGAAGAGTAGATAGTTTTCATAACGGTGCGATATTTAAGAATACCGATTCTGGAGAGACGTTTGGAATTTTCTGCCTTCGGATCGGTTTTAACTCGTTATTGTTGTGAATTTGTAAAAAGAAAAGTTGTAATTTAGTTTAATTTAGAATAAAGGAACGCTTTTTCTCTGCGTAATTTCAATTTATAACTTTTGTTCAACTAAATTAATCAAATTGTGCAATTTTGGTTGAAAATTGAATAATGTAGATTGAAGATTAATATCAAAGATTTTTTTTCTACAATATATCCCTCCTTAGTATAGTTTTTAGTTACACTATTTAGTTTCATTACAAATTCATGCATAAAATACATACATGTTTCATGTATTTTCTATAATATGTATAATATAATATTAAATAATATAAAATGTAAATATACAAATTACATATTTAGAACTAGGCTAAGGTATTTAATATTACTTCAAGTGCTAATTTATTGACTATTTTATAATTAGATACACTGTATCATGATGTATTATAATATAATAATACATTATTGTAGTGTAATGATATTATAATGTATCGTAATTATTATTATGTACAATAATGTATTATATTATATAAGATTCAATAGCCTTACGACAGAATTTCAGAAAGATCAAGATAATTTTATCAACTACACGTGATCCTTGACGAAGGGGTGAGTTTCATGACTGTAATTAGTAAATTTGGGAAACAATTGAATTATTCCTTTAGTTAAACCAGCCTCCCTTTTTATACAGTGTTTGCAAGCAGGGTTTGGTCAACCTACGGGACTGTATTCTATTTGCATTTGGGATGAAGGTTCGAACGAAAGGGACGGCAATGTTGCCCCTTCGAGTTATGAACTTTCGGATGTAATAAAATGCGGAAGCTTAGAAGACAGGCATGTACTATGTACTAATAAAGAGGAGAGAAAAAAAAGGATATAAAATATTTTAGTAACAGTACCAATTTGTTTGATCACTTATCGATAAACTTGCGAAATTTTCAAGTATATTGTTTGTGGAAACATGCAGAAAATACCCATAATATAAATGCATGTAGGAAGTATTTATTCAATTAATATTACCATTGAATTATTAAATCAATATTTCAATTATTGTTATTACCTCGTGCATCATATTAATTTTATTTTTATTTATTGCATTAATTTTAATTTTAATACTAATATTTAATGGCGGAAATGAACTGTTGCTTAGATTGTATACTATTTTTCACTTCAACATATATTTTCTTATATTTGAATCTGAATTTTGAACTTGTACATTCTATAAATATAAAATCCATAATCCAATCAAATCCTTGTTAATTTTTGCAGAGGTTCCATACTCCCAAGAAAATCGTGAATTTTCCACAAGGTCTCTGGAATTTTACAAACAAGTTGCCTGCCACGATGATCAGTTGACTTTGGAACAAAGAAATAAATCAGCGAGGTGTAGAGTTTCCAACCTCTTCACATTATCAACTACTATTTCACCAGAACTCATCAACGCTTGAAGATGAAAAGAACAGAAACATTATTGCATATTAACTGAGTCTCAGGAATGATATACATTTCCATCAAACGCGACGCGACGTAATGTGTAAAAAGAAAAAGGAAAAGGGAGATACGCGAGCAAAACAGAGAGAGAGAGAGGGGGGGTGAAGGAAAAGAGAGAAGGAAAATGTAAATTAAAAGTGGTCCTGGCGAATTAAGTCGACGGCGTGGCGGTGAAAGAATTACCCGGGCATTGTTCCACGAAACCAGGCGCGCTTCTCCCCCCAAGCTAGGAAACAAAGGGAGAGAGAGGCAGCGAGGGGTGGCCAGGCCAGGCCACGCTTAATTCTAAATTCGGCACTAATAACGGCCGGCTCCGTGTTTCGTTAGCCCCCGGAGAGATTAACGGGCTGAGGAACGATGGCCTAATGGCGGCGTGCACGCGGAATTCGAATAATATTTGCCTTCGCCGCGACGCACGGCCACCCAAAGTCTCCTGGGAGCGGCTAATGCGATTGGATTCGACGCGTGCATAATACGTCGACAGCTCTCTTTCTCTCTCTTTTCCCCTCTCTCACTCTCTCTCTCTCTCTCTCGCCGCGGGGAAATCCGATTTTTTTTAAACCTGTCGCGTGTATCGCCGATGGGACGTGATCAATGTTCCACCAGATGGAAAAACACGAAGGATTTTGTCGAATTGAAAACCCAAGCAAGATTGTAACGTTGTAATAGTTTGTGGATTTTCGTGGGTTTTGCAGAGGACATCCAAAGATGTATGAACGTGTGGTATGTAAGTGGTAGAATTATGTTTAGATTTAGCATTTAATATTTTTTTCAAACTTGTCGCATATCGCCGTAGTACGTTTGGATGGAAAATATTGAGAATTGAACGTTCGAACAAAAATGTTGTTTAATTATGTTGATTCCTATAGATCTAGGGGTGCGTACCTTAAATGTATAATATAGTACTTGATGTTCGGAAATCCAAAATGTAACATTTATTATAATTAGGATATTTGATTGTATTATTTATGTAACATCTATTATAATATGTTTTAACATTTATTTGATATTTAACACTTCTTATCATGCATCGATATTCTATCAAGAGACACACACGAATAAAAAATAAAAAGTTTAATTTTGTCAAAGCAAAACTATTTTTCAACTGCTTGCTATAAACTGCTGTGGATAATCCGAAGAAACGATAGTTCGATAGTTCCACTGTATACCGAAAGTTGCGAAATTATTTATCGAACGTCCCCTGAAATATTTCAATTTTCATCAGACGACGTCGTTCACCATCGACGTTCAGGTCGATGAAAATCGGTCGCGAACGATCGTCCTCTATTAGGGTGATCGCACGATGGCCGATCGGTGAGTACGAGGCGCGAGCTCGGTTCTGGCCCGGTAGACGCGCGTCTTAATTAAAATTAATTGTCCCGGTCGCGTAACGTCGTAAATCATAATAACCCGGGAGCCGAAAGTTATGGATGTGCCGCGACGCTCGAACGGATCTTTCATCTCGATCGGGGATCGATGGTTAACCCAGGGCCTCTGGAATCGGAACTCCTCGTGAGCGGACAGTGATTGATCGTCCGCGTGGATGCGCAGGACCCTCCGGTTCGACTACCGTTTCCTCGGCGGACACGTGAGGAAAACAAGCGACCGATCGAACACGACGTGACACAGCCGGGTGTCAAGCGTGCTGTGATCCTTCCACTCGGTTCTCGGCTCGCGATTAACCCTTTCCGTTAGACCGCGATGCGTATTCGAACGAGCAGGATTGACGTCCCTAAAATAAATCGAACCGGTCGTTCGTCCTACACGCAAGTCATCCGAACCGATTTGATTTGTTGCGACTGAAGCTATAATTATCGTTCGCGATAATATTTGAACACTGTTGCGTAGGGTTTGTTTGAATTTGTTCATACCCTTTCTACAGCTAGGGTTTGTTTGAATTTGTTCATACGTGCAAGTCACTGAGATCGATTTGATTTGTTGCTGTGATGATAACAAATGTTTATGAAAGAGCAGGAAATTTTTATGAACATATCGTTTGTACGAACGAATGAAATAAATGAAGTAATTCGTTTGTATTCGTTCAAATTTGTTCGTTCGCGCAAGTCATTCAAACCAGTTTTCCAACTTTTGTTGCGAACGAAGCTATCGGTTTCCAAATAATTTTAATAAATTATAGCAAGAAACAAGGAAGTAAGGAAGCGACGAAAGTGTAAATATTTGTAGAAAAATTTGCAAAAGATGCAAAACTGCACACAATGTAAATAATAAATAAAACGTATAAAGTACAATGCTTCTTATATTATTTAATAGATGAACTGATCTTGCACCTAGGTTCGTGAAAAATTATATACCCACGGTCTAGTAATAACATAAAAATCACAATCATTGAACTTCCAAAATTCACTGGAACAAAATACCCACTCCATTTTCGTAGGAAATTATATAAATACTCAAATACTCAAATACTCAAAGTCTACTAATAACGTAAAAATTACAATCGCCGAACTTGCAAAATTTCTCACTGCGACAAAATCCACCCCATCGGTTCCACGACTGACCGTGCAAAACTAACTAACATCTCCTTTCTTCGCGATATCTCCGATTCTCGTCGAACGATCCTTTCGTCAGGTCCCTGTTAATCTCGGTCAATCTTCGTCGAATCCTCCGAGCGGAATCCCCACGGTGGAACGTCATCGACACGGGTAACGACGGGCACTTTTATTTCTCCCGCGGCGTTTTCCATAGCCACGCGCGCGAGTAGCCTTCCGCTGGAGGGAAAAGAAAGAAAGAAAAAAAGAAGAAGAAGAAGAAGAGGAGGAGGAGGAGGAGGAGGAGGAGGAAGAAGAAACGAGGAAAAGAGAAGGAAGTCTGACGGTTCAACGAGCCATGGTGGAAAGGATTACGAAGGAAGCCGAGAACGACGGGATCACGGCGAGGATCGAAGGAATTTTTCCTTGACACGGACGTCGGATAAAGAATCCTGACGGTCGCATCGAGCGAAACACGCCGCGAGATATCGATCTTTTTATTGTGCAAGGAAAGACGCTATCGACGAAGATTGCTCTCACTTCTTTCGTCGATAATACGTCGCGAGTTGCACGGCCGCGTTTCTCGAACAGCGTTCTCTCCTCCCCCGAATGGTCGACGAATACGTATCGAGAATCGATTCGTTTCGAGACTAGCGCGGGGTCGATATATAAGTGGTCCAAAGGCTCTTTTCGTGGGAAATTGGGGGAATTTTATTTTTGGGACACGCGGAAATCATCCGTAGTTCCATGAACACTCTGGGGAAGAGTATATTTTCGGAGACATTTTTTTTTAAGCGGCGAGTACAATCCGAGCTGGGTGAAATTCGGAGGGAAAATATTTGAAGTATTGTTTGAAATATTAGATGCAGGTTTCAATAAAATATTGCTTGAATAGGAGATCGAATTTCTAGATCAATAAAATATTATCGTTTTAATAATATTCGAAACGTAGACTGAAATAATTGAAATATTTTAATCTTGCATTTTAAGTATTTCTTAATTATAAAAGTGAATTGAGGATAGATCTAACGTTTAGCAATATTAATAGTATGTGAATAATACATAACAGAATATTGAAATTTACTTGAAATTCTCAGATTTTTAACGTTTCATTCATCCCCCATTTTTCAAACATAATTTATCTCTTGGTTAAATTGGCACATGATGATAAAAAAATTAATACCTACAATAATAAGATAAATACGAATAAATTCGAAAATTCTTTTATTAACGATAAATAAACTAAATTCAAATTTATAAATTTACATATATATCGTGATCATACACATTTTCTAGAAAAATGTGTCAAATTAACACAAGAGATAGCAAGAGAGAGTTAAACAATTTTATCCTAAATTTTTATACAGTTTTCCCAATGTCCTACAAAAAATTAAGTACTTTGAAGGTGGATGTCGAAAATTGAAGTTGTCTTCAAAATTGAAGCTAGAGAAGGATTCTGTAAGTATACTAAATGGTAAATGAAGTAAACTTTCAGCCTACACTTGTGTATAGATTGCTTACGATATTCTTTATATTTTTTAATCGTTCCGATACTAAATTGCATGAATTTGTAATATCCAGATCACATTTCGCACGCTGGGATTAATCACGACGATGTATCACGTTTCTTCCTATTGTTAAATTATATACCACTATTGTTTCCAAAATATTGTTCAACGAGTTACGTTAACCACGAACTGGTGTCTGGACGAAGAAAAGAAAAAAAGAATCAGCAAATTGAAAAAAAAGAAGTCAGAGGAAGACGCAGTTGCATATTAATTGGGAAGTAATTACATATAAACAATACATATAAACAATAGACAAAAAAAAACAAAAATTATAGAGATTTTTATTCAAAAAGTATTTTGAGCTTAATGACAGAATTAATGAATTTAAATTAGACTTATTTCTCTGAACATATGAGTTAAGACATTTTTTCGAATTATATTTGATTAGTATCGGTGCATGTATGACGAACGCAACACGAAGGTGTTACATAAGTCCAGTTTTTATATCGTGAAGCCTGATGATTAACCGCTCAAGTCTCAAGTTAGTTTCCCCTACCCCCGTCTTTAAAACCACCCTCCGACGTTTCACTTCGTCAAAAATCCTCAGACAATCGTCAGAAGGTCAAAAACTCGTCCCTCGACTTAACCCTGTCCGAAAGCGCACGGACTCGAGATGGCGAGAAGTCCTAATTTCTGTTAATCCGAAGCCCGCGAGACGGGACAGGAAAGGGGTGTCGCGTTCGGCAAACAAGTGCGTGCGTCGTGCTGCCGGGCGAGAGGAGAGGAGCCGAATCGTCGATTAGCAAGATACAGGCACGACGCATTAACGGTTGACGCGGGGAGGCGCTGGCAAAGCTTCGCCGGAAGGAGATGATCGCGGCGAAGGCTTCAGGTAATCCCTCTGGCAGGGTTGGTTAGGGTGCCGGCACTCTGGTATGGGTAGTCTTTATCGGACGCATATTTGCCGGCTCCTGCAAATCCCACCCCGGGATTCCGCGCCGCCTAGGGGACAAAGAGACGCGCTCCACGCGAAAGAAGGACGGAGAAAAATCCAACGAGGAGCTTGCCCACCCGCACCACCACCACCACCACCACCACCGCTGCCGCCACTGCCGACACCGCACCATCACTATCGCGGTGCCTCGTGTCGTTCACCAACACGGTCGCGAGAAGCGACCCTTCCGTGTGCCACCGGTTAGACTGTACGGGCTTTGAGGGATGATGGAACGACGGGGGGTGGCAAATAGAGTGGGACAGCGCGAACAAGGGTGCCGTGACAAAAGAGCGAAGGGCCCGCGAGCCGGAGGCGGCAGAGGAGGCAAAAAGAGAGAAACGAAAGGAGGGAGAGAGAGAGAGAGAGAGAAAGAGCAACAGAGAAACGAATGACAAAGAGAACCTAAAGCTGCGTACACATTTGTTACCGCGACCTGTTATCCAGCCAACGGTTCGTGATAAGAAGTAAAAGTCTAGTTCGGAAAATATATATTAATTTCGTGAAAAGCATGGAAATATGGATATTAATGTTATTTTTTGAAACTTACCTTGGGATCTACTTCTTGCGTATGTCATTCTCATGCGAAGTTGTGTGGAGGAGTCGTTCGTTTTTTTTTTGAGGATTGAATGTCAATATGAAATTAAACAATTAGTAGAAAAATTATTAGTTTATTAGTTCGGGTTCTGAGAGGCTCTTGGTTCGATTGTTTCTACGAAATAAGTGACCGACTCCAAAAGAAACAAAGATAGCAACTTGATGCAACTTAATCCGACAATTGATGAAGAAAATAATACTGAAAAATAATTGACAATATGTATTCTAGTTCTAGTTCGGTGAATGTTGCAGATAATCTTTAGTGTAATAGAGATGTTTTCAAATATTTAAAAATCGCGTGTAAAAACTCCAGAGCGTATTTCGATGCAAGTAGTGAATCCTATCACACGTGCATTTAACATATCCGTGTTACATATTTTTAATACACGGATAAATACTTACTCAAGGTAATTATAAAATAAAAGGGAGAACTAACTTTTTCTAACGACTTCGCGAAAAGGTACACTCCTTTTTTATTTTTACAAGTTCTTTTGTGCAATTTACTTTAATATCGTAAAGTATACAAACAGGAGGCAGACAATTATCTCATTAACATGTTCAAGCTTTATTTCGTATAAACTTCTTAAACAAATTCGCGTATCGCGACACCTGTCACTTTTATCAAACGTAATCTCACCTTCGTCTCAATTGCCATTCGTTCAAGCGGCAGAGTAGACAACAATGCAACGTAATGAAACTTTCTGTTCTGAGTTATGGACATTGATAACAGTTGGTCCTAACGACATAATACCAACGCGTCAACCAACGCAAAATGTGTACGCAGCTTAAGAGGGAAACGGCGACAGAGTAGGAACGAGCAACGGGAGCGTGACAGAAGGAACAAGACATAGATCGAGCGGAAAAAAGAGGAACAAAGGGAGCGACGAAGAGGGAAGCGGCAAGCCGGGCCGAGAATCCGACGGCGACAGAGTAAATGGAAGCGGACTGGAAGAGGAAGGGGGATCGGTAGCCGGGGGAAGGCCGACCGGGGTTGAAAAGTTCAATTGCGCGTATTTTCGCAGTGACGTCTCGCAAATCCTGCGCCACCGTTCTTCTCTCTCTCTCTCTCTCTCTCTCTCTCTCTCTCTCT